TTGTCCGCGCTTCTCGGTACGAGGGTTGAGTGCCGCTTAACTCCTATGGACTCCTATATATGCTCAAACAGACGTCACAACATCCTTGTTGAGAGAATCATGTGCGGATTTTTGGAAGCATTAACATTTATCTCTTTAAAAATGAATAATTATTACACCATTTAATACGCCAGTTTCACTCACTTCCATTCATATATTAAATTATATATATAATTATTAATATATTATTAATAATTATCCGTATAATTAATATATATTATCTGTTCTTCCTTTGTAAACGAGAGGTAATTATTTACGTAAAGACGCAAGTCAAAAGAAATGATTTACGGTTTATACAAATCTGGCTATACAAACGAGGTATATTGGTTTACAAGGGTTTAGAAGGTATTCGATTAAAATTGATACGGCATTCAAAAACTATGATAAAGATTCATTCAAGGCTTGTGGCATGTACTCCACCACGTCTCTTCAACAACAGGAAATGTTTTAAAGGTCATATTAACTTCCTTGAAATGGCCAACTGTTTTCGAAGTGCACAAACTACTATGCATAAAACGACTTTGAAGTAAAGCACCGGTTTTGGACTGTGTTGATTTGTAAGATCGATAAGACGATTTGTTGAGGATAATTTATCTAAAGAATTATTTGTCAGTGACGTTCACAAATTCCATTTGTCTTAACCAAAAAAAGATGTTTTACACGTGCAATTTATTACTTTGTTTCATCACTTTCGTTACATTACCTCATCGTACATTCGTTTATAGTACTCGTACAACATGGTTGTAAGTTGGCGAGGCTACATAATGAACTTAATATTATTAATATACTAGCTGTTTACCAGGCGTTGACAGCTATTAAGCTGCCTCGCCCATCTTGCAGGTCTCGTCCGTCTCCTCCGCTCTGCCATGACTCTCCTGGCCACAACTACACCTCTCCCACCCACCCCATCCGCTCTATCTGATCCTCCCGCTCTATCTGCTCCTTCCGCTCTTTGAGATACGAATGTTCCTTCCTCTCGGTTTGCTTTTTCTCTCCTCCTTATTCTCCACCCTCTCCGACCGCACCTTCAACTCCTCCGTCTTCTCCCGCTCCTTTCGTGTCTTCCACTCTACCTGCTCCTTCAACCACGCTCCCTCCACTCACCTCACACTGTTCGGTTCACTCTGCCTCTTCCGTTCGCCCCCGCACTATCACGCCCCGCGTCATCCGGCAACGCGTGACAACATTGCCATCCAGGTGTATTGAGAATTGCGTTTAACTAAATATTGCAAAAAACACACTTTAAGGTAGCATTTTTTATCGCAACTAGCTGTTTATGATACTTGGCTGCTGAAAAAATCTGAATGCGAAATTTGGGAGCAATCGCTAAAGTAGTTCTCAACTGTTTGAGACACATGCAAACATACGAGGTAACATTTTGTATTGCAACTATGCAATTTTTTATTCTTGTCCGGTCAAAAAAAGATATTTTCGACAAATTTGAAAGCAATCACTCCAGCGATTCTAACGTTTTTTGCATATACAAACCGACATACCTGCTTTAGTATAACAGATTTATATATTATTAGTTTTAAAATTTAATACTACGAGTATTTATTTTCATTCGTAAAAATATCCTTTCAAATATCAAATGTGATTTCGAAATTAAGGATATATTCTAAAGCACTCGTGATATTACCTTCGATAAAAACATTAAATCATCTCCTGTCTCATGCTTGTGAAGCAGAGAAATTCTTCGGCCAAGTAAATAGAGATCTTCTTCATTTACTTACTCATCATTACATTAATAAAAAATTATTAACAAAATTATGGAAATCAATTCACTTTAATGCTGGATAAAAGTATTAATGCAAATTTTTTCATCTTCGTAATATTTAAAAAATAATTTTGTTTATCGATGCATAGAAATTTGCCAATTGTTGATTCGCGAGAGCATTTTAAGATTGTAGTAGCGAAACCCGGCAGACGTGCTGCCTTCATCTCCCTCTTTCTCCTTTCCCTCTTCCCCTTTCTTCGTCCCTCTCTCTCTCTCTCTCTCTCTCTCTCTCTCTCTCTCTCTCTCTCTCTCTCCCTGTCTCTCTCTGCCTCTGTCCCTTTCTCAGTCTGCCTGACTGTCTCTGTGTGTCTCGATCTGTCTCTGACTCTGTCACCCTCTGTCCTTCTCCCTCTTCCCGTCTCTCTGTTCCTGTCAGTTTCTTTCTCCGTCTCTCCGTGTATCTCTGTGCTTCAATCTACGTCACCTACGGCTACGGTTCGCAACAATGAAGCCTAGGCGGAGCACAGTTTGAATGGAAATGTAATTAAAATGAAGCGCAATTTTGTTCTGCAGCGCCATCTAGTGGAGTCACAACAAAATTAACAACACATAAACTTTCTGATTAAAAAAAACAACGAAAAAAACACGTAGATGTGCAACTTTCATGAAGATCGCGCACACGGTGTCGGAGTTAACCGCTCTTATATATACCAACATCAATATATATA